TAACTTACATTTTGCCTACTCGTACTTATTTCACTTGTGATGTGTAATAGCAAAATAAGTCGACTTTCGTCAAAAATTCCGGAATGAGATACTTGAAATGAGTCATGTGGGAAGAAATAAACTTTTCAATTTCAGCTACTGTAATTATCTGAGCGAACCTCGAACCGTAAGTTACTTTGCATAAATAAGCAAATTATGAAAATGTAACGCTTCTTCGTGGCGATGCGCCTCATCTGCTATTCACCAGTTATCACCCTTGGTCTTGATCAAACCAGAAAGTGTTCAAAGTATATTTATTTACTCCCATGTAAATGATTTTGAGGTGGCTCTAGCAGCGTTTTCGCACACCTAACCATCACGATGAAATCTCAACTTAACGTGGTGTGATGGATTATGCATCTCTGTGACCCAACGAGCTACACAGGGTGGATTTTGTACGGCCCAAGGTCTACTCATGCCTAGGTCGGAGAGAAGAGGTCAGACAAAGTCCAGTCTCCTGGTTCTTCACGTTAAGGGCTCGACTGGAATTGGCATCTCAGTCTGTATCAATATGCTACAGGAGTAATTTATCCAAGTAAATGGCCCTCCACTCCGCCTTACCATCTTCCTTGTAGTTAGGTTCTTGTCGAAAAAGGCTTTCGTTTAGACTCCTAATCGTTCTCTGGCTTAGTGTTTTGATACACTGACAATAAATGTATAAACACAACATGATTCCTTACCACAGCGGTCGTTGCGCAGAATAACCTGGACTTCGCTGGCCGTCACATCGTACAGAGTGCTTAGTGATAAGAGGTCTTCTACTCAAACATCCCTACTTTTATTTAACTCTTTATCTTCTATACCCAACCTTTGTCCGTTGCCCCCTCTAATGACTTACAACATCCAATCAGGCAACTTGCTTGTCACTCACCATAGGTCGGTACTTGGTAGAGCTGTATGTAACGTAACACAAAATAGATTGCAGATTATGAAGCCCCGTCAATCTCTCAATCTAGGGTTCTTCAACTTGAGGACTCTTATGCAGGTGGATCAACAAGCGTGTCTTGCGCGTACGATGAACCCTTTTGGAAATCGATGTCCGCTGTGTATCAACGACAAAAAATTCAGGATCGTAATATGTTAAGTCATCTGAGTGCGCCGGATTTGTCCCTGAAGTAAGTCCCTCGCACATCAGGGGACCACGAAGCCCACTCTTTAGGTCAGTGTGGTGTATGAATCTCACTAGGCGGTAAAGCTGAGGCCTCATTGACAGATTGTAAACTCGTCAACAGTCGTTTGTGCGCACTGAGGCTCCAGGGCTCAGTTAGTGTTATCGGAGTGGTAGCATTATCAATTTGCTTGTTCATCAAATTGACATTGTATCAACTAACTGCAGTCCCAAATCTCAAACGGACGAATTTTCAACAAATTCATCGAGATCATCCGATCGAGCCATGGTTCTGATGTTACAGTGCTGGCAGATGATTTCAACACCCCCGTTGTAGAACTAGGCACATCCGAAGCCTGACTAGAGGGGATGTTTCTGTTCCCGTCTAGCGAACAGACAACGGTGATCGACTACTTTGGTTCCTATCTAACACAAACTGTCGACACAGCTTCCGTCGGCTGATTCATTAATCACAGAACTTATTAATGGTTATATCAACTATTTTACTAAGTTCACTGATAAGATTCTAGAAGACCCTCTTTATACACTGCTTTTTCTTCTTTTCGTTCTCATCTATCCTCAAGCCACACCTTTCAGCATATACCCCATTGTACTAACATTTAAAATAATCTCTATGTCTGACCAACATGGAACAGGCGGTTAATGAACCACGTCAAAACTTGTGTGTATAAATCAAACTTCATTGAAGTGTTACACGCGGCATGTTTTCTTAATTTTGTATCTTTCATTTGAGGTGATGATCAGTGTACATTTTCAACTTAACTTCAAGCATGTAAGTTCAAACCAGTTATATAATTATACACAAAATCAGTGTTTTGTATCTCGTGAGTGACTTTTGTCGGTTGTTGATGCCACATGCCATAAGCATAGGTTCGTTTGGCTGACCCCAGATGTTGATTCGAAGTTCATTTTATGTGATACAGTGTCCATTCGTTTCCGTCATCTCAAGTTTGCCACCACTAACTCTTGTGTCAGTGTTAGAAAGATAGAATTCTTCTTTCCCCAATTCTGTATGCTCTCTGTAACTGTTTGCTCGGTCGGATTTGACATTTTGAGAAGAAAAGGTTTATGCTTTTGTTCGGTATTTACTGATCCCAACTTTTGTTTTACAAAAAGTGTTATAGTTTCATTTGGCACATTAATTGAAGTAATCAAGCAGCAACATAAAATATATGAGTTGCCAGTATCAATGGGAATTAATTGGGGACCGAACGAGTGATTTTTCGACTGTGTAAATAGCATCAAGGAAAGCAAATCTCAAATGACAACATATTGCTTTACGGTTTCGGGCACTTGCGAACTTGGAACGACCGGATTACATTCAGGCTTCTATTTTCTATCCTCTCGGTTTGCTTTTCGTGTGAATAATTTGGTTATTTAGTTATACTGTCCATACCTGGAGGATATCATACACGCACGTCAATTTTTGACCTGCTGAGGTGGTTTCCATGGTAAGGCAAAGTGATATAAACGGGGCATGATTTGAACTGTCAGCAGTGCCGTTAATCGATTCTATTGTGAATGACAACATCGTTACAAAGTACACAGATATGTTAGATCTGGTGTTCCGATTGGAACTAAGTTAAGATACTCTATTTGAATCACACCAGTTTCTCATTGTTTACAATTTGGATTTTTTTCTCTTCACTGTGTCATTGTATTTAAGAAAACCAACCATAAACATGCAAGTATTTGAAATTGTTTGCATTCATGTCGTGTTGTTGCTGTTGTTGCTGTTGTTGTTGTTGTTGCTGCTGCTGCTGCTGCTGCTGCTGCTGCTGCTGCTGCTGCTGCTGCTGCTGCTGCTGCTGCGGACACTTGCCAATCTGGATTAAAAGAGGTAATGATAATTGGTGGGAAAATGATCTTACTTAAATAAATGTTCCCAGGATCTCAAATTCCAGAAAACTACATGCTTCTTGATGAGAATATTACAATAACCTTCCTAGTTATGGAGGCAATATAGCATAAGAAATTAAAAATTTGTTACACACGGTTTCGAATATTACTTTCCCGTTGGTAACATGAACCTGTTATTCCAAGTATACTCCTGAGAAATAGCTGATTTGTGACATACGTGCGGAAATTTCCAATTTGTATCACTCATATTACGTTCTCTTAACTCAAGGCATTTAAGTGCAATGTTTATGTTGCGGAGTATCATGTGGCAGCAGAACATATTAGTCCATTTCAGTTCAGTTTGTACAACCATCAACTATGCACTTTCGTGCGCCGGTTTTGGTTACTGATTTTTGGTTGCCCATTTGGATGAACATAAGAGGAAAGAACCGGAAGGTTGAAAGTAGGATCAAAGAAAAAAATTAGAATTTCAGTGAACTAATGCTGCAGAGAAATTGACCAGATGCACGAACGCCAGTGTTTACGACACTCAGCCATATCACTCAGTGTCCCTAACCCTCAGTTATGATCATCCTGAGGTCCCCAGCCAGAGAGACCCCAGTGACTACAGAGAAGTTGAGTAATAAGAACACAGTGTAGGCGAAAATATGTTTTCGGTGAATTCCTTNNATGAAGCAATTTCAATGCGGCCAAACAGAAAGGTGGATGAGTCATGGGTTTGGCAATGAGCCCAAGAAAACTCAAAATTTGTGCGCAGTTTGGATCACATTGAAATTGTTTCATACAAAGGTGATTGTACAGGCTTGAAAAGGAATTCACCGAAAACATATGTGCGCCTGCACGGTGTTCTTAATCAATGGGCATATTCCGTGAGTTGAAAAGTTCAGTAATAATGTGAAATGTCTACACAACCGCCCAACTCAGTTCAGAGTAGAAAAAATGTCACCTCTCCCCAACTCTATGATAGGTAGCGCATTTATATAATCTTTCGTGGTAACACATACGGCAAATATACTGCGAACTAAACTATAAATGATCGCACAGATGTAACCAGTATGTGAAAAGATGCGACGGGTTGAGCAATGATGCAATAAAGTCAAGAACCTAGGCAATGAAGCGGAGTAGCGAAGGGAAAAGCCACAGGTAACAGATTGTTGCCAATGGCATAGTGGATTGAATGTATTATTCAGCCAGGGAATGACAGATAAAAATAGGATTTCTGTTAGTTAGTGAATAGGTTCGAACTGGATCTGACTACTACCGTAAGCAATCCCATTTGATTCAAAAGAATCGGTTTTATTCGAGAGAAACTTGGCCTCAATGGAATTTACTAATCGGGTTATTGAGGGCTTAGACTGACCCCACTCATGCAATGAATCATGCTCCCATTCACGTCTTGGCATGGTGACCAACTTATCGATCCATCTTGACGTGATTCGCTTCCTCACCCGACCGACAGAGGTCAATTAAGTCAATTAATTCCGGGTTCGTTCATTCGTATCTATGACGCACACTCAATCAATGATCACGAACATAACATTCCCGGGTGGAACGGGTGTGGGGGTGGGGGGGTGAGGGGGGCCATTCTCACCCCACCCCACCCACACACACACACACACACACACACACAGACCACCCGCCAGAAAACTTAATCCTCGCTCGGTAACTCACTGAAAAAGTACTTTTGTTTACTTACGGGGCAGTTGGTTCATTCGGACTGGATAGGGTTCAGACAGACCCGGTCCAATCGCTGCGGTTTGACGGCCGAAACACCAATCATCTTGTGGCAATCCCAAAGGAGTGTGATTGGTTGGATTCACTTGAAGTTGTAACGGATTTACTTGAACATGAAAAGGTATAGAGCTTACCGTGGAGTTGACCTTCTACTTCTATGTTTTGTGATCTTTGTATGCTTGCACAGGTTCATTCACCATAATTGAACAACTCCATGTGCTATATATATGCTTCTTTGTTTTAAGCAAGGGATTGAGAAGATTAGACGAAATGTTAAAATCTCTCAACATCTGTCTCCTTTCTATACTTCTGCTGTGTTTTTCGCAATCGTTCCCCTTTCGTTTTATCTATAAATAAATCGGGCTTCCAAACGAACATTAGTTTGCATGACTGATGCTGATGATGTTTTGTTTGTTTGTCCATTGTCGACACTTCTTCAGATGATCCTTTATTGGATGTCTGACCAATTTCCGTAACCAGACTTCACTCGGTTCTTTTTAACTAATGCTACGCGAAGGCAGTCTACGCAATCCTAAGCACCTCTTGCACCAAGACCGAACATACTCCGAGCTCCGGGCTCCGGGCTCTAGAAGAACGAACTTCAGTCATGAATGCTTGGTTGTGTTTTCAGACGTCAACCGGCTACTTGTCACGATCACAAACATCCATCGTTTCCTTGCAGATTAAAAGATTCACCTAAAGTTTTCCGCTTACCAATCGTGTACAAAATGATGTTTTTCTAATGCTGACCACTTTTCAAAAAATGAATTTTTTATCTGTTTCGAATTCCCTAGTACGGTAGTAGCTCACAAGTCTACCCGTTTGTAAATGCAATTATTACAGCAAAATACTGGCCACTTCATGACATCCTATTAGTCGCACATGCATTATAATTCTATCTTCACTCCGTCTTTCATTCATCTTTTCAAACTGTTTTTTTTTTCACTTCACCGCAGCAAACTGCGCTGAGACTTTGCTCATGAAATTACACCAGGCTTTTCATCACCTTACTTTCTAGTTGAGATGCGTGAACTAATTTCCCACCCCCACATCCACGCATTTTGCACCCCGAACACAGTTCAACACAGTGTCCAATTTACGACAGACTACTATTTCGGATGACGTGTTCACGGATGAGAGAAGTGACTTGCTCGNACTTGCTCGCTATTTTCGCGTGCTCCCTTACTGTGCCATGAACAAGACAATACACTGTGGTCAACAGACCAACACCATTCCCAATCAAAAGCTGAAGCCATATCCATTTAGTTTACTGAAACTGGAAGAACCAAATTAGTAGGACAATCTGTTCCATACCATTGTTGGCGGTGTTTTCGAACTTCGCATTTGTGCGTTGTACTGTAGGCCAACCTGCATTTCATGACAGCTTGGTGACTGAAATAACGCGTTTTTTTGCCAAATCTGATCATCTGTCAAGGTCTCAAAACTGTGACGCCAGCTTCGCCTTGAAGATGAACACAGCTTTGAGCGCAATGGAAGCGTACCACAAAGTGGTTGTGTTACTCCATCGGACAATAATTTACATTCCGGCTTTTCCAATAATAATTCATAATAATAAAACGCTTTTGCGTCCTCTTCATTTGTTGAATAGTCAAAGATGCAATCAGTTTTGAGAGAAAAACTGCGACCGCTCAAGAACTGTCAAAGATGTTAATAAAATATGACAGTCTTATGGTGATTCCAACAACAATTTATTGCAGTCAGATATAAGGTTTAAGTAGTAATGTTTGAGGGATTGAGACCACACTGACTGAATAAACCAGTCTTGAAGAGAAATACCTGCATCGTCGCACTGATTAAGGTCTTGCGATCGTCAGTCGTCAGAAATATTGATGTTCCTCGATGGATTTCTTCGAATAATAAGGTTTCTTAACCAGTAAGAATTAAGGAATGAACCACTTTCTATTCAGTATCATACGTAGTTTACAGTCGACCGAGTAATACTCTATACAATGTTACTTGTGCACCGTACATCTGCATCTCCAATCAAATTTACTTTCAGATTGGTTCATAGTTGGAAAAGAAAAAAGTTCTGCTTCGCGGCTTAACATGTAATACTTTCAGCCGTGTTAATCGTTCATCGTGAGCTGTCTTCTGAATATCCATGGAAACTGCCCAGCGCTCTAGTCGTCTGTATATATTTTGCCATTTCGATATGTACTACTGATGAGTAACACTTTTCTATATTTAGAAAAGGCAGGAGTCTGAGTTCACCTTTATACGTCCTGTCTTTAAATCCCGCATAATTTGTCCACACGATTAATACCAACAATATTGTTATTTCGACAAGTAAATGATGTCTTATTGGGAGCACGCGGGGTGTTACTAAACAACTAATTGACGGAGTTGTTTTTTGTCGTATTTTGTTTAACCTTTTTTCCGGTATTACAAATTCCATGCTAAAATGTCTATCCTATCCTATCCCCGGGACTCCTCCATTAAAGACCATCCCACCCAAGTCCTATTCATGTCCATCTGGGACTCCTTCCAATGAACGGTCCCGTTTGAGTTTCTTTAGAACACCTCATCACTGCAGTCCTAATTGATTCTCACTTGAGTCTCGCTAGAACTGTATATAAGCCACTTCAAATTAATGTGAAATTAAAGTGAATGGAATCGAGTCTGTTGATTGTAAATGCCATAATACAATTGCTTTTTCATCAACGAAATACAGTCGCGTTATTACCTCATGATTTCTTTTAATCGCTCAGTTTACGTTTGTGAGCGTCATCGGCCAGAAACTATCGTGTCTAACCACAATCCGCACGGTTCTCCTCCGTGGCCCGTTACAAAACATGTTCAGTACACTGCATCATACCTAGGTCCATCAACGCTGCCTCGGGAATCGGTTGAGTGTGGAAATTAACACTTCTTTAGACAAGCAAGCTGTACTCGTGCACCTATGAAGCGTTTATTCATTTTTTCCAACACTACAGCAAATGATTGCGTCAGGAAAGGCAGTACCGCCCATTAGCAAAAACAAATGTGGGGTATAACCATTTGAGTTCAGCACCGCAACCAAAACCCAAAGGACACGAGAACTTACCTTAAAATCTGAGTTTCTTGTTGTTTTAAAATATTCATCTTACGGGCAAATTACCTTGTTCGTGTTGGGAGCATTATTGCACCGGAGACACTCTATGTATACACTCGTACATTCGTGCGTTTAAGCGTGCACTAACTGTAAACAGATTAAAATTAAACACTTGCAATGCTAAAGTGGTTTTCGGTAAATCAATCATTTTCTATGAGTATTCACTCATTTCCAAGATCGCACTATGAAGAAAGCCTTCCCAGATGAAGCGCATATTAAAGTACGCAAAAGAAAAGAACGTTGGGTACACAATGTCCGGGAGAAGATGTACCAATGGGAATACAACAAAGGGAATACCCTAAGGGATTGCACGATTTTGTCGATGTCAACCGAATTTAAACATGATAAATACGTGTTATATATGTTTAAAATAACATTTTATGGCTTTTTTATTGGATAGGGTGTGTATGCTTTCATTTTATTTGAAAAGGTTGTACTGAGTACGATATGAAATACCCCGTCGTCAATATACAATGGGATATATTCCCCGTGAGCCTATTTGGTGTTTTGGGATTGAAGGGTCAAGTAAGAGTTAATACTACATCTTTCCTAATCTCTGTGTGCTGCAGCGATAGCTGTCCTTTCGGAAAAGTTTTCGCTCTCGTGGTTGAATTAGAGCACTATTCAAAGTTTAGTGACAAAGCCCATTTAATCGACTACCGTTTAACACCTGAACGTCGAGCTCTAGGTTTACTTCTGCTACTTACACATCATCCGCGAATTTGAATCAGGGTCCTGAAATGGGCATGCTGGAATAATGTCCTAGATTTAGACCACTTCAACCATGCCCCTATGTCAGATAAGTTAAGGTCTACGACTATTTAACACCTATGTGTCTGAGCTAAGATTTTGGGAGCCTTTATCAGCGCTTGGACTTCACTGCTAAAAATCCCGGGACTCCAAATGGTTGTTTTCATTTTCGCTAGCAGTAGCGCACCTAAACGTAGTTGAACATTGTAGAGCTTCACTCCAACCTAAAGTGTCAGACTTTCAATGCCTCTTTGTTTAAGGATTAATATTCCACGAGATTGGATAGCAGTAGGCATGTACCAATCTTGTGGGTCCAAAAACATACTTACGGGCTCATTGAAGTTTGAAAAGCTAATAAACGGATCATCATATTGATGGCGAGTGGATAACGAAGACTGGACTACTGCAGGTCTTAGCTATTCAAAGTTACAGTTTTGTTTCGTATGGCAGGAGGTTCAACGAGCGGACATTTGTCCTTCTTTGATGCACAGATGTTCTAAATGCAAATCATTCAGTACTGATAAATGTAAGGGAGTAGATCTAGCGGTTTTCATTGAAACTCCGAAAGGAGAGAGAAATTCATTTGTGATGTTTGAAAAACTCCAGAAAACTAACTTGGATGTTGATTGACGACATCCTTAACCCAAGTAAGAGCTTGCATGTACAACAGCAAATTTGGTTCATGTAACTTCTCGTTTACTCAAAGATGTTCTCTAAACATCACCGTCGACTGCAGTTTCTCTGTTTGTGTTTGCTGAACGCTTTCCAGAGAATATAGTATACGCAAAAAGCGCATCATCTTCGGACTACGAAAATGTCTCATGATTTACTCAAATGCCGTCGTATTTTGATCCATAATTGTGCCGCGCTTCGACTTCCGCAAGCACGATGTACCAGACCATGCGAAGTGATACACTCTTTAGGAAATTGTTTGGCTTTCAATTGTGATAAATGTCAAGATTCCGGAGATGTCGATCGCTTGAAACCCACTTATCTGGTTTTCCTATTCGATTTGTCCTCACACAAGACCCCGACCTATAGTAGTTCCCTCACCAGTTGTTCCCACCACTTCATGCAAAACCCAGTAGGTGCACCGCACACACATATACCCAACACATGTTGCTTACTTCTAATCACCAGTTTCCTCCTTTAGAGGTTCTAATATCTATTTATCAAGTGGTTCACCAAAATTCACACCAACCAGTCTAAGCTCCCTCGTGTACAGTCAGTCATCATCACATGAATAAAAGCAGATTGCATCAAGCAGTCAGACAACCTTCTGTTGAGTCCGTTCCCTGTCCCCTGTTTCCTGTTATTGGTAAATGTGGTAACTACAAAGAGTCCAGCAGGAGAAGTGCAGTAGAGTTCTGCCGATGGTGATGAACTGGTTGGTGGACGCGTATTTAGTGTGTCGTGTTACCAGTGATTGCCAGCGGTGACTGCTAGATTGTGGAAGCAAACGATGTAGCAGTAAATTGAAAGCAGGAGCGGTAACAAGATCCGACATAAACATACTGCCAAGAGAATATATCGTGCTCAGTATGACGCAATCAGCAAAGTAAAATGAAGTCTATTGTCAGGAACAGTATCATAGCATATTTTTTTCGAGTAACTTAAATGCTTAAAGCGAGTTCAAAAGATCCAGACTCGTGGATAAAAGCAAAACTGGTCGACTTGGAGCGTCAATATCGAATAACACCGTCAAAACAAACGAGGAATAAAACGAGAAGTCCGATTTGACCAGACTGTTATCAACCCTTTATACACCGCACGTTTCTCTCTTTCTCAATCCACGTTTGGTTGGCACTGCCAATAAAGGCTAACACTGTTTTGCAACTGTATTTTAACTGAGGTCGATGGGATACGCATCGTGGGACCGGACTCTGTGATAATTTTGGTGAGGCACAAATGTCCTCAATGACCAACAAGATTTTACGAGAAACGACATCCGATGACCGTAAAAAGGTGGAACGGAAAATTGCCTCTAAAGTTCAATTTCTGTTAGAGAGACATTTCATCGATGTTTACACCACGCGAGACTTGAGGACGAGAGGAACTCATATTCCCCAACTTAATGGCCTACCGGCAATCCACAAGCCGGGTGTGCCACTCAGGCCAATGCTATTCATGGTGAACTCACCGCAGCACAAAACAACAAAATGGCTGTTCAAGGTGTCAGAACCAGTCCATAGATTAAT